TCTTTTTATAAAACTCATCCTTATCCTCAAAATTATAAATGTTCCAAAATTTTAAATGTTACCGGGAAAATTCATTAATCTAAAGACTAGAACTACTACAATTTTGAATTTTTTAAAAAATCAAATATGCAAAATAAAATGTTAAAATATGTAGAAAAATTTAAAGTTGTGTGCTTAATATTTATTGTTATTTTATGTGTGGAAAAACTCAAAAATTATTCTTGTTTGAACTTTTCAAATGAGAATACCTCTATAATACAATGCTTAATATTAATGAATAAAAACAATGTTATAAATTACGTATATTACAAAAATTTTCAATTGCTAAAATGTTATATTAGAACGTAGTTTTTTTCCATGGATATGAGAAATACAGAAATGTACCGATTCTAATAACAGAAAATCTAGTTAATTTGCCCATAACCATTCTGGAAGGAAAAATCGGTTTCTCCTCAGGTGCAAATTACCATCGATTTAAGTAGTGGAGAACTTGGGATTATATTTTGGGAGGAACCAAGTTGAACAGATAAAAAACTTTTTATGCGAATTCAATAAAATTTCCACCTTAAATGACCGCTAATTCATTAGTAGTAGGCCTATACAAGTAGAAGTCACGACACAATATAAATAAACAAATGAATTTTAGTTAAGAAAAGTTATTTAGAAAATTTTCTGGTATTTTTTCTTTTTTCTATAAAAGGTGCAAGAACCCTTTGGTCTCTCTCTGGGTGAGCCACTGGAGCCAACACTGCCTCGGCATGTTGGCTCCTCGACGACATTTCTCATTAAAACAGATAACACACAAATATCCATTGCCCGCGACCCAACGACTAAGGAACAACAAACAAACATTCTTTCTAGATAGTAAACCTATCTAGCTTGCAAATCTTGCTACTAGTGTCATTTGTATAATCCTCTTTATAATTACAAAATAATTACAGTACATTATATTGTGTAGGAAAATGAGGAACATTTGGAAAAAAATCTAATAAAAGTTTAAAATTTCACTTCGTAATTTTGCAATGAGCAGCCAATCAAATGCAAGTACAGGATAACGTCATTAGAACAATAACAATATGGCTGCTTACAAGAGCAATTGACATTGATGCTAATGTTAACTTTTTTTTTTTTTTTGCCATTCCTAGAAGAATGGCAAATAAATAAATAAATATCAATATATATGTATTATTTGATACATCGGAAAATATATAACATATCAACGTATGTTATATTAATATATGCAACGTATTGATAAAAATATATCGATATATTTTCACAAAAAAAAAAATTGATATTTTTTTCTAAAATTAATACAAATGTTAATAATGCCAATTATTATTTTGTGAATGCATAACACAAATAGCAATTTTATTTAAAATAAATCCAATGCACTCGGTAAAGATGATTTAAAAAATTATTTTGATAATGTTTTACTGTTGAGGTTGATCCTAGCTTTTGATGAAGTACTCCAACTGCTGCATAAAAATTTGTACGTAGCTATTTATAATTTTAGAAAGTATTAGGTTTTTATATATTAAAAATAAATAAAATAAATAAATTGGTAGATTTCAAAAGCACGTAAGAGAATAAAGACATTATATGTCAATATAAAAAGTATTCATTGCAGCATTAAATACGTCAATAAGTGTTCATGAACCACTGAAAACACGTATGTCTAATATAAATTTAGGAAAACAAATACATCTTTAACTTTAATAAATACTAGTTCGTACGGTACTGTACATTGCCTGTACAGTACGATTTGTATATGACAATTACTGTATACTGTAGAGAAGTTTTAATTTTAACGCTTTACACTCAGAGACATTATGACTTTTATCCATACTCGTCATGTTTTCGGCCAAGCCTATGAATGGGGAAGGAGGCCAACTGGTGAGGACGAAAGTTGTCACATGCAAGTTTGCCCATCTATACAAATTTATGATCCAAACCGCACTCGAATCCGAGCTCCTCGGACTGAGAGGTTCGAAAAGGCTAAATGATGAATTATATTTAAATATAAAGTTTATAGGCAAATATGAATATCAATTTCCACAAAATTGGCTATTATGTTTTGTTGGGCCCAGTTATGAATTATCAACACGAACTTATCTCTCTAAGATAGACAATACATTGAATATGTTTAGTTTTCGCAGTTATTTATCAATAATTTAATAAAATTAGTCTCGATAATCCGCACGTTCGTTAGCTTTACATGTTCACTAGTCGACTCTATTACCGGACATTTTATTAGTCTGGTATTACCGCCATTGTTATATACAGAAAATTGTATTTTGTCCCAATAATTGTTGTATGTTTAATAAATTTGAAAAATAATCATCGCGGAAAGAATAAAATTTAATCTGTTCAGCACTAACTTCTACTTTAAAATGCGAAGTAAAAAGTAATTTCAGATTTAAAAGTTAGAACTAAACGGGAATATCGATTTACAACTATAATCAAATCTGAAGTACAACTTTTATGCGAAATTGGATGGCTTCGTTTCGACATTTATTAAAAATTTTATCCATAAAGAAATCAAAATGAAAATTTAAAAAAGTTAAGAAAAATTCTATCAAATTTTATTACATCCCGAAGTGATGTCAATCGACCATGATTTCTTTTTTAATTTAATTATTTTGTAAACGTACGATTTGTAATTTACATGAACCATTATCATTTTATTTTCCCGACCAATTCGTTTAAATTGAAGCTCGAGGGTTAAATTACATCGCGTCATAAATCGAGAAACCTTCGAAATCATCATCGACTTTTAATCATCGTTAATTCTCTCTCCAGTTATAAATTCAATGGTTTCCTTATTTTCCACATTTTAAATACGACTTAACCTAAATGTATCAATTCGATGAGTAATTCTATTTTCGTATGTATTAATTAGCAAATTAATTAATTCGATACTATCTTCTGCTTAAGTAGGAAATTACTTAAACTAAGCTTAGAAACGTTTATGTAATTTTCTACAGCACAATTTAGTCGCAAAAATGAGATTTTAACACGAGTTCGTACATAGACTGCCAATAATCAATGTTTAAAAAGATGCCCTGGATTCACGAAAGCGTCGTATTCTCGCGACGTAGTTAAATACGACAAATTTACGATATGCCTTATCTGCAATTAGGGCCCTTTACAAAAGCGTCGTGGCTCAACTTACGACGAATGTTCGTCTTACGACCCTTTTGTAAAGGGCCCTAATTTTAGCCTAGGAGCCAATAAAATTTTTGTATTTAAGATTTGTATTTGTATTATTCAATATATCAAATAGCGACTAACGAGACGTAACACATTTTATGCTACATGGTCGGCTTTAAATTCCCATTACGCATACTGGGAATTTAACTATCGTGGTTCTTCATTTATGCCAATCGATCTCGATACGGATCAGGATGAAAAAACGGATTACTAGCGATTATCTTTGCACGCTTACGTCAAGAATGCAAATATAAACACAGTTAATTCTTGAACATTTATGTATTTTTTTTCTTATTAAATAAGGTGTAAAATTCCCTGACTTTTTCCGAACACTAATGAAAATCCCTGACTTTCCAGGTGCGTAGGAACCCTGTATTTTATTCATAATATACAAACTATTGTGCTAAATTCAAATTTAACATAATAGTTTATTAAAAACTAAAAGAAAAATCGATTAGATTTCATTCAAACGGGCTTGCGGATTATCCGTATCTCCATTATCGATGATAATCCGGATAATCTGGAATACACAGTAATGTATGTATAGTCCAGATTCATATACACACTCACTGGACATCATAAAAGCATGTCTATATACATAAAATGTTCATAACATATATTTTCTTCTATTGAATAAATTAGTGCCTACTACAAATAAGTTATCTTACATGAAAGAACTCCTTGAATTGAAACATTTTAAGATTTCATTATAAAGATTAAAGTACTTGCCTGTCCTATATAGTGTATAAAGGCGGATAATAAATTATTATAACGTCATATTACAGATTAATTACTTCTGACAGTGTTAATTAAAAACGTATCATAGATTATATCCATCAAAGCATTTTTATTTTTAGATTAATTCTAATAAACAAATTTAACCTATTTGAAAATAGAATTAAGTAAAAACAATTTTCCCCTTCTTATCAAAGGTAAATGTATTTGCAAAGTACATAAACTTATTATTTGAATCGAACAAATAGCAATAAGAGTTTGAAATGTGCTGGGTCAAGGAGCATTAAAAATCAGCTCGCGCGCATTATATTTCGCTTATCACAAATTAATTGCAGTCGACGATTAATTTGATAATTAATAGCCATTAACTGTATTCAATCATACAGAAACAATCGCAATTAACCAATCAAAATAGTGAAATGTTTCATTACTTAGAATGAATCGTAAAATAACGCATGTTTTGAAATGTTAACAAGTTGTGAAAAATTATTTCTTCTTCTGTACTACTTATTTTTCTGTAATAATGCAAATGAGCCATTAATAGACTTATCTTGTTATCATAATAGCTATTATCAGTGAACATTTATTGATTTTTCTTAACAAAATCTTGTAATTCTATTAAATTTTTCTGAATATAAACTCGAGGAAAATTAGATTATTATTCATGCACTCTACGTTTGTCTTCTCCTAAAGATATGTAAGAATGCTCTTGATTATCTCCAAAATAAATTAAGGAAAACTATCATTCCGTTATATTTCGCATGAATTTTCTTGAGTTTTTGTTAGCCAGACTATTTTGGTCTTTTTATTCGTTAACTTCAAGTTTAAGAGGAGCAATTATGGAAAAAATTTACTTTTAATCTTCTAAATGTAAACTGTTTTAAGTAATGAAAAAATTTATGATTATACAAATGATTATTGGTGTTTTATAATTTATATCATCATTAAACGCGTATTTACTGTGTATTAATGTTCCTAGATTTTTTAAAATTAATGGATACATTTGTCTTTTTTAACTTTATAAACCATTGTCAATTATGATAAATAAAAAACAATTTCTAATTATAAATTTATGCGTATTTAATATTCACATACATATAACAGTATTTCCGGATCGTCTTATTCACATAATAATATTGTCTAAAATCATGCAATTAAAAAAAAAGCCATGGAACACAGTACTAAGTAACTTTCATATAAATTTTTCTTTTAATAACATTTGGCTGCAGACAAAACATTTGCACTGAATTGGCCCAAACAAATCATGAGGAGAAATTGCAGTCTGCACCAAGCTTTACTGATTTTAGATTATCTGTAAATATATATCTATATATATATATATATATATCATAGTTTCTGATTCTTATTTCAGAACACACACAAAATGCAACATGCCATGTATACATAAGGTGTTAATACATGGAACTCTACAGGAATAGATATAACTTTCAATTTCTCCAGTTAAAAAACAATAAGAATGAAGAAAATACAAATAATTCACATGTACACTTTTACAAGATTACTTGTTTACAGTAAAGTTATAACACTGTACAAAATGTAGAGGATTTTATTCTGATAACCTTATTTTACATGTTAATAGATTTATAATAACCTAAATATTATATATATATTTAATTTTGTACCTGACAAGAAGAAAAGACTTTCAGAAACTTTGTAGAAGAGAAATATTGCTACTTATGAAGTATAAATGCTAAAATACTTAGTTGAATAGCTTTGGAAAAATGACAATGATACTAATTAAACTAAATTCAATACAAATTTTGAATAGAAATCCATTACAGCATCAATAGTGTCAATAAATAAAAGGAGAGCATAAAATTTGTAAATTTGTAAGAACCAATATATGTGCCTATGAAAAAAATAGGCTTAGAAATATCTAAAAAGTTTTTAAAAGAGAAATTGTTCATTCTTTTTATGAAATTTATAATTAAAAATAGTAACAAATGGAATGATATTAATACTCGATTTGCTTTCTAATTAGAAAATCCCGCAGAGTACCATGTCTCTTACCAAATCTTTTACTAAACAGTAACAACCAGTAAAGCTATATTTTTTTTTAATATCAAACCAAAATATTCTGTGCTTAAAGTTTTAAGTTTATAGGATTCCTTGATATGAAGTTTGAATCTTTTACATTCATATTACTTTAATCATACACTTCCAGATATATTTTGGCTGCAGCTGCCAGGAAGACCTTTTTTCTATACATGGTCATCAAAAATGGGGATGACTTGACCTTTGAATATATATTGGTTCTTTTTATAAAAACAACAACAGAAATTAACATGTATTAACTATACTAAAAACACGGCTAACATTTTACAATCCTAGAAATAAAAAAAAAAAAGACTTTTAAAAACCCAATATACATTCATTATGTTGTATAAAAAAGTTTCAAAAAGAAAAACCAGATAGATATGATCTGAAATAAACAAGAAACAACCTTATCCCCATACTTCTAATATTCTCTTTTGCAGAATGGAAAAAACTTCTGGAAAAAGAATCGCATATATATATTTTTTGCTATCTCCTTTGGCAGACAAATAGTCATATACACAGAAGTTTGTTCCATCCTGTAATAGATATAAATTCTCAATATATACTAAGAAAGAATGCTAAAAGCTAAATGATTCCAAAATGTTTGTAAACGTTGCTATTATTGTCATCATTATTAACATTGAGTGATCTGGAATTTGTGGATATCTATGGCAAAGCAAGAGCACTTGGGTTTCAATCCTTGTGATGCACCGAATGAAATTAAAAGACATCACTTTCATGTTAACAACATGACCACTATTGATGCCAATTTATGCAAGCATGGAAAACATTGGCAGTTTGTTGCATGTGGTATTACCTAAAGAAAAATAAATAAGGAGTCAGCAACAATAAAAAAATTATATAATAAATTTGAAATAAAAGCAATTTTTACCGATTAAACTAGACTTCAGAAGCAGCCTTTTCTTTTTCTTCCTTCTCTTTCTTATGTTTCTTCTTCTTCAGAAAAGATGGAGTTCTCAAACCTTTCTTCTTCTTCTTATCTTTTTTGGGTGATTCTTCACCAATTTCTTTAACTGGTGAACTCTTTAAGACAATTCAAAAAAGAACTCCAATTACTTAGTTACTAATACCAGCACAATGTGTTACAACTCATTTTAAAAAGTTCTTTAACATTAAATAATTTTCTTTTCCAAAATGTCAAGATCAAGCATTTTTAATTACTAAGGACCAGATTTATATATATATGTTAAAAGCACCAGTAATATACACTAAAATTTGTAGACTGAAATGCTTACATACTTTTATTTCTTACTAATATCTTTTACATCACACATTTTTATGTGGGAAGGGATAAATTTCTTGTGTTACAATAGTGACACAAGAAATTTAAAAATTATGACAACACAAAACACATTAGAATAATGTTTCATTTAGGAGATACTCAATTAAGTTTATTACAAATAAATTTATAAAATTTATTTGTAATAAACTTAAATAGATAAAATAGAAAGTTATAAAAATTTTATAACTTTCTATATTATCTAATCAATGTTTAATAAATTTATTTCCTTTTATACAATTGTTTATAAAATATGTAAAGTCTTATTTGTTCTTTATAGTCCTATAAAACGAGAAGAAATGAGTGAATGCCCTTACTAAGTTCTCAAATACAGATTTAGTGTTAAAGTTGATGATAATGTTTCATTCTCAATTGATATCATGAAATTTACTAAAGTTAGTTTCAATACCTCCTAGAATTTACCTGTGATCAATTGCTGTTGTGGCTCATTTGATGTTTCATGTTGTGCTGATTTGAGGACTTTTCAAATTGCTGGGTTATTTAGATACATTTATTAGAAGAAAATGATTTGCAACATACATTACAATACAGAATTTTTCCATCTGCTTTAAATGTCTTGAATCCAAACACCAGTACATACTTTCTTAGCAATTCAGTATTAGTTTTGCTGATTTACCCATATTGTTTTGTTGAAATGAACTTTATATAATAATCTTTTTTGTTCATGCTCCATATTTAAAGTTTGACTACTTTATTCCTAAGAAATTATCGTCCTTATGTTTAATTAAACATTATGTTTACATAGCTTTTTGAAAGACTTAAACTTAAAATTATTGTAAATATTATATTTATTAATCTAATTTATATGCATTATCTGACAATCTTAAATTGATTTACTTTCCAAATTGTATTTATATCAAGGTTTCAATATCACAGCATTTAAGAAAAAGAGCATGCACTGCATACAAATCTGGCCCTTATTAATTACTACCTATTATTAATTGAACAAAGCCTTAAAGGTCAAATAAAAACAAAGAACGACAGTGACTTCTTTGTTAGAGGGGCAACAAACATGTAAACAATCCCATAAGACATTTACATGTATTGGAATGAATTGGTCCATCATCACTTCTGTCTTTAGCATCCATCCAACACAAAAACAAGATTCCATCATGTGATGGAATATTATTGTTGGTTTTCTGATTGGTAAGGATATCAAACTTGGACCAAGAAAGGGAGAAGAGAAGAATGAGTAGTCAAGAAACTCTCAAGTATAGTGTCCATGTGTAATATTGTAAATAGTTTTCTATAAATATTTTATGTAAATAACTATATTTCTAATGGTATAAATTCTTGAATCAGTACTTTGCCAAGAGGTGAAGATACCCAGACCTAACTCATTTGGGAAGAGACAAAGATAGAGCATAGGGTCAAAGTAGAGACAGAGAAACAGCAATGGGAGTTCTACAGAAAACAATCTCCCAGTAAACAAAAGGAGATTGTGCACATTCCAAACTTGAGTCAAAGGAATTGTACAATTAAAAATAACATTATAGAAATAAATGCATGATATACATTGATCCTCATAATATCAATTGTAAATTGATATTATGAGGATCAATAATTTTCAGTACTGAAAATTTTTATTATATTCTAGATCAGTGATTCCCAAACTTTTTCAAGCAAACATCACATTGGTTCCATTAATTTATATATAATCAACATCCCCAATCAGTTTTCCCTTGAGTTAGAAAGGTTTGGAAATATTCTTAGAAATGCTTTTCTACAAACCTCACACTTTGTGTACTTATTGCACATTGTCTCCATATCTGGAAACCAGTAAACACAATGTTTCTTATTATCCGTTTTAATAAAGGAAAGTGAAAAGTTGTCAGTGAACTGAACCTTCACATATGGTCATTGTTCAGTCAGGATCTTGTCCCCATGCCCTCGTTTATTTTCACCCCTAGATTTACTCATTGCCCCACAAGGGTGATAGCACCCACTTTGGAAACAACTGTTCTAGACTGATAACAACTTAAGTATTCTTTACTGATATTCCAACCATACCACTACACTTAAAATAATAAAAATTAGGTAACTTTAAATTTGTTTATAACAGACTATAATCAGTGAAAAAAATTTTTTTTTTTAAAAAAAGCTCTAATACTAACTTCTTTACTACTTCGGGAAGCACCAGAAACATCACCACTATCAACAGATTTCAATTTATCTTCTCCTCCATTCACAGCAGTATCACCTAGAATAAATTATTATCGTAAATAAATACTGGCAACAATGAAATATCTTCAGAATTTCAATAGATTCAGGATTAATCTATTGAAAGCAACAAATATTGCAAACATTTTAGAAGTATTTTTAAACTAAATTATTTACATTAAGATCAAACTAAGATGTACAAAATATTTAAGATAATTTTTGTTCAATTAAACATCTAATACAGTTCATTACAACATTGTATGAAACTTTGTAATAAGACCATATATTGAGTTTTTAAAAACAATGTGATCTTACAACATAAGTTCTAATATAGTATTTAATGAAACTTATTTATGCAAGTAAAAACTAATAGCCAATTTAATAAACTAAGAGATTCAAAACTGCCATGTTGAAATTTAAGAAGCATAATAAAAAAATTGTGTAAGATCAATGTTTTTTCCTCATGTAGCATACAAGTGAATTTTCACTATGAATGCCATTTTAATTTTTCTTATGATGATTAGATAAATTGGCAGACAAGAGCCAGTAGTTAGTCAAAAGAGAGGGGGGACAGTCTCCAAAAAGAAAGTTAAGTGATAATTAGGTCTATAATTGATGCAGGTCATAAAACTAATTATCCAGTTCAGTGGTCATAAAACTAAGTAATCCTTTCAATTTTCTCTCTTTCAATTTGCATTTCTTATTACTTGAACAATTAAGAATGTTCATTTGTTCGATTAGCTACCAAAAATTGGTATATCCTTGAAGACCCATTATAACCATGAGAAAATGTCTGGAAATACATGTAAATTAAAATTGAATACAGTCAAACATGATTAATTTTGCTCATTACAACAGAGTTTGACTATATTCTCAACATTATTCTTATTTTAAGATTTGTTTTTTTTTATTGTCTATCAATATTACAAACAGGATTTATTATGTTATATTCAAATGCACTATATTTATGTAGTAATTGTTTGAAGATTTCAGAAAAATTTTTTTATTTTTAATAAGATTATTTTTTATCACATTATTTTAATTTATATTATTTACTCAAATGCACCATAATTATAAATTCTTTATTGATATTATATAAAGTATTTTCAATAGTATGAGAATCAGTTTTCATATTTTCAAATTATGGCTTGCAATGTAATTGTCTATTTAGTTTTATTAATAATCTTCTGAAATAAAAATTTGTATTTTGTATAAAAATAACAGCTAAAGTAAAAATAATTTAATGATTAAAGAAATTTCATTAAAAATGTTTGGATATTTCTAATATCACAGACTTCATATCATAAATTGCTAATTGGATTTTAAAAGATAAAATAATAAATGTTTAGAAAGGTGAAAATTTTGAATATAATAATTCTAAGAACATCTCCCAAATTTCTAAAATATTAATGAAATAAAATACAGAATCTCTACATTGTATTTTGCTCATGACAAATTAATCTAAATCATTTTAAATTTAAAATAAATCTATATTAAAATCAGGATATATGTTTAAAAGTGAACAAAGACTTTTAGTTCACACACTTTATTTGATCAAATTCAGTCAATGAGGCTCAAATTAAACCTTGACCTCTAGATGTTCATAAAATTATACAAATTTGAATATATTTTGGTTGATTGAATTATTAACAATTTTAGTGATTTTTGATTAGTCACCTGACCAGTATTACCATCACAAGGTTTTTTTTTGAATCATTTTTGTATTGTATGTTAATTTTTACATGAAATTAATCTGCTTAACATGTTAAGCTTAAAATGTATACACACAGTTTAAATTTTTACTTACAAAAACATTACATTTTGTCACATGACTATTTGTGTTATCACATGCTTCACTTTGACATTATTATTTGTAAGCAAAATGTTGATATACATGTTAAGCTGATTAATTTCATATAAAAATTATCATACAACATAAAATATTCTAATAAAAGACCATGTGACAGTACTACTGGTCAAAATATTAAAATTATTTTAATAAATTCAATCAATAAAATAAAACAAGCATGTTCATTAAAGTTTAATTACTAAATAAATCATTGGAAGTCTGAAGTGTGTACCAATACATGGTCTACATTGTTTTGGCAGCATTGCAATCAACATGGTTTAGTGCTTTGTTAAATATCTATTTTAAATTCAAAGTTAATAAGTTATTACTTTATTTGCTTTCAACAAACAATTATCATGGCTGGTAGACATCCAAAATAGTGTTGTTGTCATCTTTCTCCTATAAATTTGTATAAGTAGAATACCTTTTCATAATCAGTAAATAAACATTGCTAACATTTTCACAACCTTTCCAAGGCTTAATACATTTGGAACAGTTTTCAAATACAAATGGAACATTGAACACAATATAAAAATTAAGTAATTAAGACATTACAAAGCTAATGCAATTTTTAAAATACTTCAGTTTTATATCATATTCAATGTTCAATTTGTATTTCAAAAATTCCAAATCATCAGTCTAGTTCACAAATCTCACATTTCCAAATTTCATGTATTTAAAATTATTGTACCAGCATAATCAAAATGGTGTAACACATCTGTATGGTCACAGACTGTTTCTGGTGCATTTGATTTTAGAAAGTAAATAAAAATGAAGTTTTTACCTAAGCTAAATTTTGGCTTAGTAAATTAAAAGAAACTAGTAATGGAAATGATAAACCAAACAACTTAATTATCACATTTGTGACAATGCTCTCCAAAATCATTTTTGATGCTTCCTGTAAAATGCATGATGTAAGTATTGTGGAGATATAAGGTGTGCGAACTAGGTCGAAGAAATGTATCAAGCCTGATGACGACCTCTTGAAAAGGTAAAAAATGTTAGCTAAAGTGTAATTAAAGTAACATTTATATGTTGATTTATGAAAAGATAGTCTATAAATTCACATCAGTAGTTAATTAAATTAATTTAGTAAGTTATTAAAAAATTTTCTATTCTATTAATTTTTTTTTTTTTTTGCAATTGGTCGTGTAACCCAGGCTCACCAAAATAAAGTCCTTTGTTCAATCTATTAATGAAAGCCATTAACATCAGTTATTTACTGTGGTTATTTAAACTGTCCCAAAAGACTAGAGAGCTAATTATCACTGCTTGTAATAATTTTAAGGTCACCTTTATTTATGATCTTATCAACTAATAGCTGCTTACCAAATTTTCTGAACAATATCCCCATCCAAATGATGACATTATGAAATAATAACTGTGTCACTTTAAAACATGTTTTAATTGCTTCACCAAAGACAACTTTTCTAATGTAATAATTCATCTTTCAATGATATGGAGTAAGTAAATAAAACAATAGTATGTGAAAATTCTTGTTTTATTTTACTGACATAAAAAGCAAGTGTTGAAACAAAAATGATAAAACTTGAATATTTATTAGTATGTAATGCATCTAGTATTTTTAGCAAATATTTAACCAATGTTTTAAAATTAAACAAGACTGAAAAGAAAACATTAAACATCAACTAATTACTGATAATGATTGCCTTCACATTAATCAGCTTCATATTGAGGATGACAACAAGAAGAGAATTTGAAAATGCTAATTTACTTACCCAAGATAATGATGATAATAAGATGATTAACATTAAAATGAGAAAAGTTTTATAAATGTATTTTTAGCTTGTAGGAGCATCTACTTTTTGATAACATTAAATGATTGATAACAAGCAAAATATTTAAAAAGATAATTTAATAGATCTATGTTATTTGAACAAAAATAATGAATCTAGCTATTAATAAGATAGAAAATCAAAATTAAAGTTAAAAATTAACTATTAAGCATTTACATATTTCAAATAAATGCTAATTGATAAATTTCTATATTTAATTTTAATCCACTGATTAAACAATGAGTGTAAACAGTTAATGCAGCATACCAAATATTAAATTAATAAATTGTTTCACATTAAAATGCACAGTAAATATGAAGTTTTTCATTTCAAAATAATAATAATTATTAATTCAATCATTATGATCATCATTTTAAATTTTATTTCATTTTAAAAATAACTAAATAATCAACAGTCAATAAATGTTTAAAATACTCATTCAGAATACCACTCACTGGCACGTTTTGGTTTTCGTTCAGATTGTGCTCTACGCTGAAAATATTTCTCACGTTCTTCTTCGGCAGCTATATGTAGTCATGCAAGTCATGCAAGAACATGCAAAGCAGAAAAAAAAGCAAATTTATTTAATTTCCTTACCTTCTACCCTTTGTGATTCAGAAGCATCTGACAGCATTAAATTTAAAGATGTTTTCATCAATTAAAATTTATATTTAATAATTTTTCAAAATTTTAATATTATATTTAAATATTTTAAAGAAATTCTAATTTATTTATATACAATTATTTCAAAATATTTAAAGTAAACTAAAATTCAATAAATAAAAATATTAAAAGCTAAAAGCAATTCTCTACAAGCAAAAAGAAAAAAAAGCAATTTTCATTTGCTTGAAATGATTGCACAATACCTTCAGCAGCTAGCCGAGCAGAGAGAGATCTGTGCACAGGACCGCCTGCTTTAAGTCCTGTGAAGGATTCAAACATGCAGTAACTTAACAAAAACTAATTGCAAGCAAACAAAATAAACTGATTTTGCATTGTTTAACTCTAAATTTTGAGATTTAATTAATTAATAATCAAAAATTGAATTAAAAATTTTTAGAAAACATGCTTTGCAAAATTAACAACATATTAAACATTTTTTAGCAACAAAGCACATTTTATTAATGTATTAGCAAATTTATTCTATTTAAAAACATTAAAATTTTTGCCCTCTTGGATGTCTATAATAATCTTTAAATGCTATTTTTTTAATTCTCTACTAATTTAAATTATGATATAACTTTATTTCAAGTTTAGAAAAATATAAGAAAACAGTTTCAAAAATCTCTCATTTAATAAATTTTATAAATATATGAAATTATTTTTAGTAAAAAAAAACAATTGAAATATTTAAAAGAAATTAGAGTTAAACAAAACAAAAAATAATAATAATAAAGCAAAACATAGCTAGCCATGCAATTGAATAAAAATCTATTTCAAATAAATTTATATAAAAATGAAAATTTTTCTGTTAAATTCTATAAACTCTCTACCTTCTTCATCAGAATATGGTGAAGTTGGTGACATAGGTGGTGATTTAGATTCTTCTAAAGAACTGCTAACTACTTGTTCTGGTACCGCTACAGGTTCCATTAATAAAGGTTTAATCTCATCAGGAATTTCATCCTCCACTGAAATTATTTTTTAAAATAATTCAAACTTTTAAAATTGCAGTGTTTTAAAAACTTAATAAAATACCTATTTCTCCTCTCTGTTTTCTTTCAACTATTTTTTTATATTCTTCTAACTCTTGATCAGTGATATTATCAAATGGATTTTTGCTGTAAGCACTTTTGTATACCATAGCATTGTGCTGAAAATCCCTTTGAATGATTCCTTTAGATGCTGCTCCAACAAGTACAACTTGATCTCCAGTGCTACTTATAGTGGCATCCTAAAAATAAAATAAATTTTAAAACAATCTAGTTACAAATTACATAATGAAATTAAGAAAGACCATACCTGCATTTTACGGATTTCTTCCCAGGTAACACCATCTAAAATTTGTGATTGTGGACCTGCTGTTATTTTAGCAGCCATTCTATTTTCTTTTATCTGAAAAACAACAAAAACCCATGAGTTTAAATATAATATTAATATTAATGTAATTTAAATTATCATCATCATTACTACCTCTTTTTGCTTTTTCTTAAATTCTTTTGGATCAGTACTCTTTGGAATGAACTGATGTGTACTGTTAATTTTAACTGGCGTACTGTGAGATGGAGAACCTTCTTGCACCCACTGTAAAATAAACAAACATAAAATGACATAAAAAATAAATTGCTAATAAATATTAGCCTTCAGGAATTTTATGCAAAATAAAGCCCAGAAATAATTAGAAACAAAAAGTAACTCATGCAAGTTCATGCAGTTTAAATTTTCATTATTTTAAGAGAAATGCTATGTTATAAATTTAAAATAATCATCATAATCTATAGATTTTNCTTATTAATTACTACCTATTATTAATTGAACGAAGTCTTAAAGGTGAAATAAAAACAAAAAACGGCAGTGACTTCTTTGTTAGAGGGGCAACAAACATGTAAACAATCCCATAAGACATTTACATGTATTGGAATGAATTGGTCCATCATCACTTCTGTCTTTAGCATCCATCCAACACAAAAACAACAAGATTCCAACATGTGATGAAATATTATTGTTGGTTTTCTGATTGGTCAGGATATCAAACTTGGACCAAGAAAGGGAGAAGAGAAGAATGAGTAGTCAAGAAACTCTCAAGTATAGTGTCCATGTGTAATATTGTAAATAGTTTTCTATAAATATTTTATGTAAATAACTATATTTCTAATGGTATAAATTCTTGAATCAGTTGATAATGTCTACTTTGCCAAGAGGTGAAGATACCCAGACCTAACTCATTTGGGAAGAGACAAAGATAGGAGCATAGAGTCAAAGTAGAGATCAGAAAAACTGCAAAGGGAGTTCTACAGAAAACAATCTCCCAGTAAACGAAAGGAGATTGTGCACATTCCAAACTTGAGTCAAAGGAATTGTACAATTAAAAATAACATTATAGAAATAAATGCATGATATACATTGATCCTCATAATATCAATTGTAAATTGATATTATGAGGATCAATAATTTTCAGTACTGAAAATTTTTATTATATTCTAGATCAGTGATTCCCAAACTTTTTCAAGCAAACATCACATTGGTTCCATTAATTTATATATAATCGACATCCCCAATCAGTTTTCCCTTGAGTTAGAAAGGTTTGGAAATATTCTTAGAAATGCTTTTCTACAAACCTCACACTTTGTGTACTTATTGCACATTGTCTCCATATCTGGAAACCAGTAAACACAATGTTTCTTATTATCCGTTTTAATAAAGGAAAGTGAAAAGTTGTCAGTGAACTGAACCTTCACATATGGTCATTGTTCAGTCAGGATCTTGTCCCCATGCCCTCGTTTATTTTCACCCCTAGATTTATAACTTTCTATATTATCTAATCAATGTTTATTAAATTTATTTCCTTTTATACAATTGTTTATAAAATATGCCCCATTGCCTCATTGCCCCACTCATTGCCCCACAAGGTGATAGCACCCACTTTGGAAACAACTGTTCTAGACTGATAACAACTTAAGTATTCTTTACTGATATTCCAACCATACCACTACACTTAAAATAATAAAAATTAGGTAACTTTAAATTTGTTTATAACAGACTATAATCAGTGAAAAAAATTTTTTTTTTTAAAAAAAGCTCTAATACTAACTTCTTTACTACTTCGGGAAGCACCAGAAACATCACCACTATCAACAGATTTCAATTTATCTTCTCCTCCATTCACAGCAGTATCACCTAGAATAAATTATTATCGTAAATAAATACTGGCAACAATGAAATATCTTCAGAATTTCAATAGATTCAGGATTAATCTATTGAAAGCAACAAATATTGCAAACATTTTAGAAGTATTTTTAAACTAAATTATTTACATTAAGATCAAACTAAGATGTACAAAATATTTAAGATAATTTTTGTTCAATTAAACATCTAATACAGTTCATTACAACATTGTATGAAACTTTGTAATAAGACCATATATTGAGTTTTTAAAAACAATGTGATCTTACAACATAAGTTCTAATATAGTATTTAATGAAACTTATTTATGCAAGTAAAAACTAATAGCCAATTTAATAAACTAAGAGATTCAAAACTGCCATGTTGAAATTTAAGAAGCATAATAAAAAAATTGTGTAAGATCAATGTTTTTTCCTCATGTAGCATACAAGTGAATTTTCACTATGAATGCCATTTTAATTTTTCTTATGATGATTAGATAAATTGGCAGACAAGAGCCAGTAGTTAGTCAAAAGAGAGGGGGGACAGTCTCCAAAAAGAAAGTTAAGTGATAATTAGGTCTATAATTGATGCAGGTCATAAAACTAATTATCCAGTTCAGTGGTCATAAAACTAAGTAATCCTTTCAATTTTCTCTCTTTCAATTTGCATTTCTTATTACTTGAACAATTAAGAATGTTCATTTGTTCGATTAGCTACCAAAAATTGGTATATCCTTGAAGACCCATTATAACCATGAGAAAATGTCTGGAAATACATGTAAATTAAAATTGAATACAGTCAAACATGATTAATTTTGCTCATTACAACAGAGTTTGACTATATTCTCAACATTATTCTTATTTTAAGATTTGTTTTTTTTTATTGTCTATCAATATTACAAACAGGATTTATTATGTTATATTCAAATGCACTATATTTATGTAGTAATTGTTTGAAGATTTCAGAAAAATTTTTTTATTTTTAATAAGATTATTTTTTATCACATTATTTTAATTTATATTATTTACTCAAATGCACCATAATTATAAATTCTTTATTGATATTATATAAAGTATTTTCAATAGTATGAGAATCAGTTTTCATATTTTCAAATTATGGCTTGCAATGTAATTGTCTATTTAGTTTTATTAATAATCTTCTGAAATAAAAATTTGTATTTTGTATAAAAATAACAGCTAAAGTAAAAATAATTTAATGATTAAAGAAATTTCATTAAAAATGTTTGGATATTTCTAATATCACAGACTTCATATCATAAATTGCTAATTGGATTTTAAAAGATAAAATAATAAATGTTTAGAAAGGTGAAAATTTTGAATATAATAATTCTAAGAACATCTCCCAAATTTCTAAAATATTAATGAAATAAAATACAGAATCTCTACATTGTATTTTGCTCATGACAAATTAATCTAAATCATTTTAAATTTAAAATAAATCTATATTAAAATCAGGATATATGTTTAAAAGTGAACAAAGACTTTTAGTTCACACACTTTATTTGATCAAATTCAGTCAATGAGGCTCAAATTAAACCTTGACCTCTAGATGTTCATAAAATTATACAAATTTGAATATATTTTGGTTGATTGAATTATTAACAATTTTAGTGATTTTTGATTAGTCACCTGACCAGTATTACCATCACAAGGTTTTTTTTTAATCATTTTTGTATTATATGTTAATTTTTACATGAAATTAATCTGCTTAACATGTTAAGCTTAAAATGTATGCACACAGTTTAAATTTTGACTTACAAAAACATTACATTTTGTCACATGACTATTTGTGTTATCACATGCTTCACTTTGACATTATTATTTGTAAGCAAAATGTTGATATACATGTTAAGCTGATTGATTTCATATAAAAATTATCATACAACATAAAATATTCTAACAAAAGACCATGTGACAGTACTACTGGTCAAAATGTTAAAATTATTTTAATAAATTCAATCAATAAAATAAAACAAGCATGTTCATTAAAGTTTAATTACTAAATAAATCATTGGAAGTCTGAAGTGTGTACCAATACATGGGCTACATTGTTTTGGCAGCATTGCAATCAACATGGTTTAGTGCTTTGTTAAATATCTATTTTAAATTCAAAGTTAGTAAGTTATTACTTTATTTGCTTTCAACAAACAATTATCATGGCTGGTAGACATCCAAAATAGTGTTGTTGTCATCTTTCTCCTATAAATTTGTATAAGTAGAATACCTTTTCATAATCAGTAAATAAACATTGCTAACATTTTCACAACCTTTCCAAGGCTTAATACATTTGGAACAGTTTTCAAATACAAATGGAACATTGAACACAATATAAAAATTAAGTAATTAAGACATTACAAAGCTAATGCAATTTTTAAAATACTTCAGTTTTATATCATACTCAATGTTCAATTTGTATTTGAAAACTTCCAAATCATCAGTCTAGTTCACAAATCTCACATTTCCAAATTTCATGTATTTAAAATTATTGTACCAGCATAATCAAAATGGTGTAACACATCTGTATGGTCACAGACTGTTTCTGGTGCATTTGATTTTAGAAAGTAAATAAAAATGAAGTTTTTACCTAAGCTAAATTTTGGCTTAGTAAATTAAAAGAAACTAGTAATGGAAATGATAAACCAAAAAACTTAATTATCACATTTGTGACAATGCTCTCCAAAATCATTTTTGATGCTTCCTGTAAAATGCATGATGTAAGTATTGTGGAGATATAAGGTGTGCGAACTAGGTCGAAGAAATGTATCAAGCCTGATGACGACCTCTTGAAAAGGTAAAAAATGTTAGCTAAAGTGTAATTAAAGTAACATTTATATGCTGATTTATGAAAAGATAGTCTATAAATTCACATCAGTAGTTAATTAAATTAATTTAGTAAGTTATTAAAAAATTTTCTATTCTATTAATTTTTTTTTTTTTTTGCAATTGGTCGTGTAACCCAGGCTCACCAAAATAAAGTCCTTTGCTCAATCTATTAATGAAAGCCATTAACATCAGTTATTTACTGTGGTTATTTAAACTGTCCCAAAAGACTAGAGAGCTAATCATCACTGCTTGTAATAATTTTAAGGTCACCTTTATTTATGATCTTATCAACTAATAGCTGCTTACCAAATTTTCTGAACAATATCCCCATCCAAATAATGACATTATGAAATAATAACTGTCACTTTAAATCATGTTTTAATTGCTTCAACCAAAGACAACTTTTCTAATGTTCTGAATTTTCTAATTCATCTTTCAGTGATATGGAGTAAGTAAATAAAACAATAGTATGTGAAAATTCTTGTTTTATTTTACTCTGACATAAAAAGCAAGTGTTAAAACAAAAATTATAAAACTTGAACATTTATTAGTATGTAATGCATCTAGTATTTTTAGCAAATATTTAACCAATGTTTTAAAATTAAACAAGACTGAAAAGAAAACATTAAACATCAACTAATTACTGATAATGATTGCCTTCACATTAATCAGCTTCATATTGAGGATGACAACAAGAAGAGAATTTGAAAATGCTAATTTACTTACCCAAGATAATGATGATAATAAGATGATTAACATTAAAATGAGAAAAGTTTTATAAATGTATTTTTAGCTTGTAGGAGCATCTACTTTTTGATAACATTAAATGATTGATAACAAGCAAAATATTTAAAAAGATAATTTAATAGATCTATGTTATTTGAACAAAAATAATGAATCTAGCTATTAATAAGATAGAAAATCAAAATTAAAGTTAAAAATTAACTATTAAGCATTTACATATTTCAAATAAATGCTAATTGATAAATTTCTATATTTAATTTTAATCCACTGATTAAACAATGAGTGTAAACAGTTAATGCAGCATACCAAATATTAAATTAATAAATTGTTTCACATTAAAATGCACAGTAAATATGAAGTTTTTCATTTCAAAATAATAATAATTATTAATTCAATCATTATGATCATCATTTTAAATTTTATTTCATTTTAAAAATAACTAAATAATCAACAGTCAATAAATGTTTAAAATACTCATTCAGAATACCACTCACTGGCACGTTTTGGTTTTCGTTCAGATTGTGCTCTACGCTGAAAATATTTCTCACGTTCTTCTTCGGCAGCTATATGTAGTCATGCAAGTCATGCAAGAACATGCAAAGCAGAAAAAAAAGCAAATTTATTTAATTTCCTTACCTTCTACCCTTTGTGATTCAGAAGCATCTGACAGCATTAAATTTAAAGATGTTTTCATCAATTAAAATTTATATTTAATAATTTTTCAAAATTTTAATATTATATTTAAATATTTTAAAGAAATTCTAATTTATTTATATACAATTATTTCAAAATATTTAAAGTAAACTAAAATTCAATAAATAAAAATATTAAAAGCTAAAAGCAATTCTCTACAAGCAAAAAGAAAAAAAAGCAATTTTCATTTGCTTGAAATGATTGCACAATACCTTCAGCAGCTAGCCGAGCAGAGAGAGATCTGTGCACAGGACCGCCTGCTTTAAGTCCTGTGAAGGATTCAAACATGCAGTAACTTAACAAAAACTAATTGCAAGCAAACAAAATAAACTGATTTTGCATTGTTTAACTCTAAATTTTGAGATTTAATTAATTAATAATCAAAAATTGAATTAAAAATTTTTAGAAAACATGCTTTGCAAAATTAACAACATATTAAACATTTTTTAGCAACAAAGCACATTTTATTAATGTATTAGCAAATTTATTCTATTTAAAAACATTAAAATTTTTGCCCTCTTGGATGTCTATAATAATCTTTAAATGCTATTTTTTTAATTCTCTACTAATTTAAATTATGATATAACTTTATTTCAAGTTTAGAAAAATATAAGAAAACAGTTTCAAAAATCTCTCATTTAATAAATTTTATAAATATATGAAATTATTTTTAGTAAAAAAAAACAATTGAAATATTTAAAAGAAATTAGAGTTAAACAAAACAAAAAATAATAATAATAAAGCAAAACATAGCTAGCCATGCAATTGAATAAAAATCTATTTCAAATAAATTTATATAAAAATGAAAATTTTTCTGTTAAATTCTATAAACTCTCTACCTTCTTCATCAGAATATGGTGAAGTTGGTGACATAGGTGGTGATTTAGATTCTTCTAAAGAACTGCTAACTACTTGTTCTGGTACCGCCACAGGTTCCATTAATAAAGGTTTAATCTCATCAGGAATTTCATCCTCCACTGAAATTATTTTTTAAAATAATTCAAACTTTTAAAATTGCAGTGTTTTAAAAACTTAATAAAATACCTATTTCTCCTCTCTGTTTTCTTTCAACTATTTTTTTATATTCTTCTAACTCTTGATCAGTGATATTATCAAATGGATTTTTGCTGTAAGCACTTTTGTATACCATAGCATTGTGCTGAAAATCCCTTTGAATGATTCCTTTAGATGCTGCTCCAACAAGTACAACTTGATCTCCAGTGCTACTTATAGTGGCATCCTAAAAATAAAATAAATTTTAAAACAATCTAGTTACAAATTACATAATGAAATTAAGAAAGACCATACCTGCATTTTACGGATTTCTTCCCAGGTAACACCATCTAAAATTTGTGATTGTGGACCTGCTGTTATTTTAGCAGCCATTCTATTTTCTTTTATCTGAAAAACAACAAAAACCCATGAGTTTAAATATAATATTAATATTAATGTAATTTAAATTATCATCATCATTACTACCTCTTTTTGCTTTTTCTTAAATTCTTTTGGATCAGTACTCTTTGGAATGAACTGATGTGTACTGTTAATTTTAACTGGCGTACTGTGAGATGGAGAACCTTCTTGCACCCACTGTAAAATAAACAAACATAAAATGACATAAAAAATAAATTGCTAATAAATATTAGCCTTCAGGAATTTTATGCAAAATAAAGCCCAGAAATAATTAGAAACAAAAAGTAACTCATGCAAGTTCATGCAGTTTAAATTTTCATTATTTTAAGAGAAATGCTATGTTATAAATTTAAAATAATCATCATAAAATTTATTTTAAAAAATACTGTTATTTAGTCAAAGAAAAATATTTCTTACTTTCAAATATAATTAAATAATTCAAAATATGCAATTATTATTATTCCTTATTAATACAATAATTGTTTTAATGTAAAATTTAATAGTAAGCATTTTTATACATTGAATATGTGTTTAAAAGAGTTTTATTATTATTAAAGGTTCATAACTTTGTGAAAGTTTTCATTTTTTCAAATTAAGAGAAACTCAACAATGTTTTAAGCTAATATTTATTTCAAATTTGCCATCTATCAAAATAAATATCATAAAATATATTAAAACATTATACAAATAATTTTTATTTGCTTAAATTTCAAAATTACTCAGTATACAATTTTCAAGTATAGTTAAATACTTAAATTTCTGAACTGAAAAGTTACAATTGGAAAAAAAAAATCAGTATTTGCACTGTCATAAAATAATAGCCAAAACAGTTTTTAAACATGTGAAAAAGATACAGTATAAAATCCATATTCAAGTACACCCAAGGATGTTTCATAAAATATATATATATTCATACATTTATTTTAAAGAATATCATCTTACTCACTTACTGGAAGTAATGACAAACACTAAAAAAACCTTTAAAATCCAGTAACGCAGATTGTGTTCCAAATTGTTTAAAATATTTTTCAAAATGTTCGGTTCTATGTATTCTAATTTTGAAATTCCATCGGTTTACAAACCTGAAGCAGACCCTTGGTTAAGGTTAAAAGCATTTGCTTAATTTTTATTAAACATTTTATGTGTATTACTAAATTTTAAAGGTTTTTTTGGTATTTGTTATTTATTTTAAAGAAAAAATTTCTCAATAAACTTGTAGAAATTATTTTAAAAAGTCTAAATATTATTAAACTATTTTAACATAATATAAATAAATTTTATATTTAAAATAGGCATTATTTTCTTGATAATATTAATAAAAATTATGAAACAACAATCACCATGGTTATATATTTCTTTCTAAATTATTTATATATTTAGAAAAGTCTGGTTAGAAACTTGCATGTCATTATTTTCTTACTAAAATTTTAAATTATTTATCTGTATATTTTATATTATTAATCTATCATTACTTAATCATTAAAATTATTAAGAGATGGTAGCAATGTTTATTCAAGTGCTAAATTAATTTATAATTTAAGTCAAATTATTAATATATTAAAAACTTCAGCTTAAATTTAAAAAAACTTAAAAGTTAACTCTATATATCATTAATTTTAACTAAGCATATTTTGAGATGTTTTTCATTATGTAAAATAAGCAACTTGCCCAGTCTAGAATTTTGATCAAATCAAATAAACTATTTATCTCAATATTAGAATAATTTGACTTTACTGTAACTTAATATAAATTTATTAATAACTGTCACTTAATGAAGTAATTTTATAGAATTTCTCTGAAACTCATAAGTTTAAACTAAAATATAATCTAAATCTTTTTATTTTTTCTCAAGTAAGATTACGCAAAGAATTATAAATTTGAAAATCAATATTAACTTAAAATATTCTGATGTCATTAGTTCAAATCAAATATTTCATAAAGTTATGAACTGATGACAAGAAAACTACTTTTTCAAAAACAATGTTAGCATATTAAAACAATTAAGACTTCTAAGTATGTTGTTCTATGTGAATGCTGTTATTCTAAAATCCAAAATACTTTTATCTGAGCAATTTACTTAATAAATATTACTTTTGAGACACTGAAAAGCTATAGTAATTAAAGTCATAAAAATATAAAAAGTGCATTACATAATTTTTTATGTTCATAATTCGTATTTATAAATTTATATACATACAGCATATAGAACAGAAAATTTATAATTTATATTCTTAAAAATTTTTCTAGCTTGATTATTTTCTGTATTAATAGAAAAAATGATTAAAAGATAACAAATTTTATAAGATTTATGATATCTTGAATTAAGTACCAATATATACAGCAAGTCTTCACTGTCAATAATAAGTTCTTGAAAACTGTAATGTTAAGCAAAATTACATATAACAAAACCAATTTTACCACACGCTAAATGATATTACAGCCAAGTTCCTATGGGAAGGAAAAAAGCAAGCAAGGTAATTATTCACCTAAGTTTTGTGAATTGGTGAGTGACTGCAATCATAGTAGTGGTGGGTAGTATAAAGACAGACTTAATCCTCATCACTGGTAATAGATAAGGTAAATAATAATAAATAAATGTTTGCAAATAGAAAATTGCAAGCCCATTCTACTATCACACAGTTCAAAAGCAATACGTGATTCCATCAAACCACAAAGAGCATTGTATAAATTTAAAATAACAAATGCAAACACAGCACATTGTTACTTCAACATTAACATATTAATGTAAATATAGGTTTACTTAACAACCTACATGTTTAACAACTGATCAGACTTACAACCAGTTCTCCAGCATGGAATTCCCCTCTCAGTATGAGTCTCAGGAATCCAATTTCAAAGTCTTACTCTCATTCCCACAGTTAGTATTTACTACACAAAACATTTGCAATCTTCAAAAATGCATATTTTGTTTACAAATATATGCTTTACTGTGCACCCATAGTACAAGACAAGAACAAAAACAAAATGACTTCACCTGGAATAACTACCAAGAATCAAAGTAAGGGCAACACAGCTGGAAGCATAGCAGCACTTGGAAGAGGAAGAAGAGGAAAGAACAGAAGTACAGAAGAAGTTTACTGTAAAGGGGTCAGCTGGTATTTTCTCAAAACTGAATGCAGCTAGCTATATTAGAACTAGAGGATATGAATCTGAATGATGAACAGTTCAGAAAAGTGGAACAGCAAATAAATGAACTTTTATGATGTCATAAAATTTATGAAAAAAGTAAAAAAAATGAAACTTACAAAGCAGATCATTAACAAGATTCATCTCAAAAGTTACATCCAGGACTCAACTACTTCCATTTCTTCACAGTTACCCCTTACCCATGCCTTCTATAGCTCCTAATAACTAATAATAATGAGATAAAAACAACCAACACCACTTACTAGAAATGAACAAAAATATAAAAACGGTCTATTGCCATTACTGGTAAATACATTTAATTAATAAGTATGATCACTGTCTTCTTCAGGTAATATAGTGGATGGGATGTTATAAATCTAGAGATAGAACACATTTTCAAACTGCTCTTCACACAAGCATGGAACACAAAAATTAATGGCATATAATTTTGTATTTTTAAATTTCTATACTGTCAAAAGTGCTTGTACTCATTAATAAAATGTATTTATCAGTAATGCCAATAGACATTTTTATATTTTTGTGTTACCCTGCTGAGAATGCCAATGATGACACTGACAACAACCTGAAACCATTACCACCCTTTGACAAATTTGATAAAAACTATTAATGTGAATGACATTTTAAATGAATGAACTTTAATTTTTTTTGTACAACATTTTGATAATTTTTGCTGATTGTATTTTTATGTTCTGTAAGATGTAAGAGATGCAAATTAAAACAAAGTTATTAAGTTGACGTTTCCTAGATCATTTCTTTATCAAGAATATATAAAACGATTAAGCTCCTTGTTTATTGACAAAGTCACTAAACAACCTAGTTGTAGGAACAGAATTCAGTCATTAAGTGAGAAGTACAGTACCTGTATTCTTATTGGATCATGTTTGTAACCTCAAGCATTTGTTTCCCACCTTATAAAATGAATTTTACTGTTTTTATAAACAGTAAAATTTACAATTACATTTACAATTGTTATTGTTGAATTTTCTTTATAGAAAATTCAACAATAACAATTGTAAATGTAATTGTAAATTTTACTGTTTATAAAAACAGTACAATTGTAAATGTATCTTTCCTCAATAATGTTATAATGAAACAACATTAATTTAGGACTTGCTGCACATTAAAGTTATGAAGCATATCTTCAATTATTAAAAGTCATTTTTTAAAACTTTTTAAGAATCTCCATATCACCATTGTTTTATTTCAGACACTTACTGTTTTCTTCCTTTTTTATATTTTTCCAATTATTTCCAGTGATAAAATACACAATTCAAACTGATTCTCCTATATATTTTCATAAATACTATTTATAAATAAAGATGCATCTGAGATTCAAAAAACTAACAATAATCTATCAAAATTTAAATTATTTTCTTAACAACTGTTAAAATTATACCATTAGAGATAAAATAAGTATTAATATGCTTTTTCTAACTTATTAATTAATATTGTTCAAATTATAAATTAGATCAGTGTAACTTAGAAAATTTCCAAACAATTAACAAAAAAAGAAAATATATTAAAAATGTCTTTACATCTTGTACTTTCCACATAGCTCAGAAAATAATGGTTTCATCATGAAGTCAGTCAGCCTTTCTTTACAGGCTTGTCTGCCTCAATATGTAAACTATCACCACCAAGAAAGAGTGTAATATTTTACATAAAATTTAAAATAGCAATTGCAAACAGAGCACATTTGTTACTTCAACATTAAATGACGTCTTACATGAATATGAATATACATTCATGTTATTTGAAAAAAAGTGAAACCATAATGAATGCAAATTATACCTCCTGAAACTTATTTTCTGAGCTGTGTAGAAAGGATGAGTTGTAAAGACATTTTTAATATATTCTCTCTTGAAAATATTTTGTAAATTTTCTGTGTGTGTACTTATTATCCTAGTCATTTTATCAAATAGATCAGTATAACTAATTGTTTATAAACTTTAATGCTAATTTCAAAGTTGTAGCATAATTATTAACAAGATAATTTTAGTATGCAAATAACATACAGGTTGCTGAGAAATAAACTAAAATCTAAAGGAGAAAAACAAACAAATGTAAAAAAATTAGTGTAAATATCTAAGAAATAAAAAATCTAATCTTATAATAAAACAAATAATTAGGATAAATTAACAGAAAATAATTAAATTAGACAAATTTACAAATGACTGAGCATATTTCATTCATGAATCATAGATAAACCAAACAATTTAGAAAGATATACTGTATAACAAATCATACAGCAGCTCAGTTTATTTTTAATCAAAAAACACTCACCTTTAATGAAAGACTTCAATATGGGCTCCATTTGTGATGCAAACAACCTCCAACTAATATTTGATTTCTTGCCATGTAATTCTATAGCATTTCCAGGAATAACTGTTTGGATGACTTTTGTAATTTATCTCTTAAGTTCAAATAAGAGACAAATTACACTCTTAATGTAACTACCATATTTACTCACATATAAGACAAGGTTTTTATTCATTTATCATAGCTTCAAATTCCTAGGTTGTCCTATATGTGTGTGCAAAGGATTCTTTGCATTTTTGCAAATAATTTTTGTGAACTATCTATATGCATTTTTTTTTTACCAGATGCTTACCTTCTTGTATTTAAAAAACATAAGTATTTTATCTGGGTCGTTTAAATCATTCTTGTATATTGTCAGGAGTAAAGATGAATAGCAATAGGAAAAGCAAAGCTTTTGAATTGAATTCCAATTTGAAATTCCAAAATCACACAGAGCCTGATATAAGTTTTAATCCATTTCCACGTGAAAACAGATTATTATTTGGAAATCAGAATTTGGAGAAACTCATAAGTGTAATCAACAGGGAGTGGATTAGACTGTTAATAATTGGCAAAAAAAATTCCCGATTGTCTAGCTTTACATGAACAAATTAAGGAAAAATCCTATAAAATCAACAACATAAAAGTTTAAAATGCCAGTAATTTTTGCAAGATAATGTGTGCATTTATGTTCATTTGATATTTTACTTGTGATTAAACAAAATAAAATTAGAATCATATTAATAAATCTAATTTTTGACAAAACTATGTCTTGTCAAAAATTAAACTTATCGTACTGCCATTTTATGTTACCAGCATAGAGGTATGAAGGAGTGCATGTTGAGAGTTGAACACATAGTTTCTTCTATGCTAAATAAAATTTGTAATCTAATTTTGTAAATTTGGGAGTGCTTCAAATATGACATTAAAACGGTTTTATGTCATTACAAGTGGGTTTTTTTAATATTACCTAGTATAGTAAAATCATGGGACCAATAAAAATTTGACATTATATTAGTGTTGTCGTTACATCCGATGACATTATAATCAGGTTTAACTGTATATTGTTTGTGCAAAATAAAAAAATAATTTCAGACTATACAATAGCCACAATTATTTTTTTCAAAAATGGGAAATTTTTATTACACATCAATAAAAATTCAACCCAGGCCAACGCACAACGGAGAGAAATTTCAAAATTGAATAGGTTAATTTCATCGAAAATGCATTGTGGACGACCTTGTGGTCGTGGCTGGTGAAGTTTGAACAATTGCACCCAAAAGCAGCAATACCAAAGAAGATTGGAGAATGAGAACAAGACCCACCTTGAGTGTCAAAGTGCAAGGTATATAGAGGGTCAAAGTGATTCTGCTTGGTAGTGAGTCTCCGAGACATAGTCTTGTCACAAACACAGCCTTGCTGTTTTACTTGTCTTTTCTTTATTTTGATCTTTAAACTCTCACCTCATCCCATATGCGAAGTCATCTTATATGTGAGTAAATATGGTACATTTGATGCATATACATGGTCTTTTACCCCAGGAAAAAATTCAGAGAAATAAGTTCTGGCAATCATAATGGCCAAGGCTCAATAATTTGTAAACACTCTGTATATTGTATTAGTCTCAATATATATATATTTAAATAAAAAAAAAGTGTGCCCAGCATGTATACATTCTAAGTGAAATTTTGTTTTCTCTCAGTGAAAATGTAGATTTTTAGGTGACTTTTGGGTACTTTACTTGGGTACTGCATTTGTCTCAGTAAAAATTTAATATCTGAAATTCCCATCTATCATCAGCATATCAATGAAATTATCATCATTCATATGTGTTCTGCCTTCCTTATACATTACATCATTTTTGGAAACAGGTTCTTAAAATTTGTTGTTGCATTGGGAAAGAAAAAATCTTTCTAAGCTTATCTAAGCAAAATTCTTTCTACTGTTTAAAAGCTGAATTGGATTCAGATACAAGTAAAATACAACATAAATGTAGACAAACAAAAGAATAATTTTTTGAAATTTCTGCTGAAACTGAACAGAAAATCAACTAGACCAAATTTCTACTTTATGCCGTGAAATTAACAGTAGACATCTCCCACAATGACATTTGTTCTAGTCATATGGCCTTATCTTTTTCAAAAAATAGCAGATACTCTTCATTGGCACATGAAGAAAGTGAAAAATGTTTAAATCTAAATTTGATTTAATGTTTGCATTCAAGATTATTTATTAAAATTTACTTGTTTTAACATTTCATTTTGTTGTTCAATATTAAGCTCTTGTCAACCATATTAACTGTAGCTCATGTATCAGCATATTAGGCATAAATCACCTAGGCCTTTTAATGAATTTAAAAATTATTTGATGTCAATTATTGTATATTATTTAATTAAACTATTTCTTAAAATTCATCATTGTGTAAGCAAATAACAAATAATTTTATCTAATAATTTATTAGGTTGGCTTATTTATAGTGAGAAGTAAGATTTTAGATTGAAATGAATTGGAAGTAACTACCAAATTTGTTAACCCCTTATACAGCCAAAAAATTAAAAAAAATTATGATTCTAAGTACAACCCTTTCAGAGATATTCACCTTTAAAGTTATGATAATTTCACTCCATTACATATATGCATTCCAACAAGGAAATTTTACTCCTACCAGTAAAGTTCCAATTCAAAAAAAATTTTCAATAATTTGTTTTTCAACTTAGACACATTAAAATGTTTTATAAAGATTTTATTATATTAAATACATTTTATTTATGTTACAGATGTTGGTATAATAGAAAATTTTATCAATAGATCAGAGCAATATCAGAGAATAAAATTAATATATAATTTTATTCTCTGATATTGCTGATTTTTATTCTCTGATTGCTGAATTTTATTCTCTGATATTTAAACAGAACAGGAAAATAATTAATTAAAACTGTAGTAAGTTCTTTTTAGATATGTCTTTCAAAGCAATATAATTTCATCTTGATATTAATAAATGCTACACATTGTATATAAAAGGTTAAAGATTGATCTTAAATAAATCTTAATTGCCTATTGTCTAAATATAACATGATAATTTCATTTTACAAATTATAATAAGCAATGTGTCTCAAGTTAGAATCTGAAAAAAATTTCCCCTTACTGTTTCTTAAATTTACTTTTACATATATATAAATACATTTTTTGTTTATTAATCTTAAAATATAATCAGTAAAACTTTCTTCAAAATTATTNATGCTGCTTAAACTTCCTTGAAATACTGCTTGATAGCCTTTGTTTTAGACTATATAATCGTGAAGGTTTCTATAAATATTACTAAGTAACAAAAAATATATTTGCAGAATAAAAGAAAATGCAGTTTTATAACATGTTCTGTGAATAAAGTTATTGCAGGAAAGTATAAATGGTGTGTTTTTTTTGATTTTATCATCAATTCTCAGGCCACCAGTGGTAAATAGCTAGAGTTGAAAGTATGTAATATGTAACTTTTATACACCACAGGCAAACACTATTAATTGTTATTTTGTTCTATATTCTTATACATTAACTTTGAAATACTCAAACAAAATTTTTAAAGCCATTAAAATTAACAATATACAGTATATGTCACTTCTGGAAAGAAATGCAAAACCTGATTCTCTGATTAATAACAATGTTTGAAATATATGTAAGTAAATAACTCCAGAAACTAAGAAAAAATATAGTTTAGAGCAGGGGTGCCCAACCTGCAGCCCAATAAATGTGTAAACAAAACTGACAAATTTTTTTATTATTTATTTCAATGGAATAAACCTCAAAAAAAAGTTTCACAAAGCCATAAACCTTTATACATATTTTACTTTTTAATAGTAAGGAAATATTTTCAAATACTTGAAATGTGTGAATGAGGAAGGAATACTAAATAAAGCTGGACCTATAACCCTTTGAGTCACAACTCAAATGGTTATAGTCCCAAATTCGGGGAAAGCAGAGAAATGCCAAAAGATAAAAAGAAGCGAGAAAGGTTGGAAAATTAAGGATCAATATTTGCATAACAGGTCTATTTAACCCTTCTCACTTCTTTATTTTTTGACCTCTCTCCTTTCCTTGAATTTGGTCTATAATCATTTGAGTCCCAACTCTAGCTTTAATTCCTTTCAGCATTGCAAGATTTGGCTACCATTTTTTTAGTTTGGCATAAAAAATATCACTTGGCTCATTGGCTACATTTTGGGCTACATATTATTTATAAATATATTGAATAAAAATGTACTTTAAAATGGTGTTTCATTGTTTTTTTATTAATTAAAGGGTGTCCAAAAGCTGAAGATGAAATGAATATGTAATGTTACTATTTAATGATATAATACATATATTAATTCCAATACAACAAATAAATTACTTACTTTGGTAATTTTCTTAGGATCTGGAGTTCCTGTCTCCAAAACTTCTACTTTTTGATAAACATTTGGTGAATTAACCCATCGCATTTTCTCATGTGTCTTTTTACCATCAATTAATTTCTTCAATGGCCTATTAATGTGTATATTTAAAACTTTTGATTTTTAACTGCTTAATAATATAAAACAAAAATTACCCAAGCCATTTGTCATCTTCAAAAAATTGAGTTGCAGAACTAGCAGCTGGAGGAACTTCAACATCATTCTTCTGGCGAGGAAGTTCTGATCTGATAAGTGGTTGTCGATAAATGTATCCTGTTCTAAAACCCTAAATTCATATTTTAAAAATAATTAATTCCTAAATTAAAGCACATATGTAAAAAATTGCTTTAAAAATCAATTAAAACTTACAACATTGTCTAACATTCTCATTTGAGCTTCAAATTCTAAATCCCAAACTTTTAATTTTTTTGATTTTTCTTTTTCATCTTTTTCATCCTCTTTACCTTGCAAATTCTGTTGCACCCATACTGATTCATAAACTTTGTTTCTTGCTTCATTTGACATAATCTGAATATTATCTAGACCAATTGGCATTACTCTTACCTAAAATAATTTATAAATAAGTCTATTGTTTATATGTGCATTACTTCAAAATTTTAAAAATAGTATTCTAAAACACTATTACAGTGTTTTAGAAAATTAAAATATTTTAAAAATTTAGAATACTATTCAAAATTATAAGTAAATATAATTTTGAATATACAGTAGATCCCCCTATAAAAGCGTTTCCTATAGTTATGATTCTTATAAAAATTGTGGAATTATCCGTAAACAATGGTAAAAATAACTCCTATAATACGTAAAACGTCATCGGGCAGCNTAATATAGTAAAAAGAATGTATAATTTATTTTTAACTGTGTTATAAATTACATTACAAAAATATAAAATTAAGTTTTTTATTTTATCTATTGAATTTTCATAAAAAAACATTTTTGATGAAAATAAATGAATTATTTATATACTTTTAGTCATTAAATAGTTTTAATAGTTAAAATTATAAATTCTATTATGATTCATATATTAAAAAACTATAGATGATTATAAAATAAAATAAATAATAAAATTGTATAAAATGAACTATATATTTAATTAAAAAGTACTTTGTCCTATATTTGAATTTAATATATTTAAAATTAAAAATTACATTTATAACAAAAACAACAATTATGTACTTAATCAATGCATAAATTTTAAGTAAAACACAATTAACAGTTTGTTTTCTATTTTTTTAATATTGTTTTTGATAATATGAGACTTTTTAATAATATGAGACTTTTTAATTAACAGTTTTTTGGATAAATAACCTGAGAATTGATGATAAAATCAAAAAAACACACCATTTGTACTTTACCAGCAATAACTTTATTCACAGATCAAACATTTACATCAGGACTTAAAAATGACTACCAATTTATTTAAATAATAAAGTTAAAAATAAATAGTAATAATTACTATTTATTTTTAACTTTCATAATAATAAAAATGAGTCACAATCATTTTACTTTTTATTAAACTTTTTGTGGACCCCTGATGTCCTTGCACCCCCCAATTTAATTTTAATTTGCCACAGACCTCATCAGTGGTTCCAAGTACTCCCAGGGGTCCATAGGAACCACTTTGGAAAACATTGCTGTATATGTATCATACTCTTTCTTGCATCAATTATGCAATTGTGCATTCTTTTTAATATATAATATATGAAAGCTTCAATTAATTTAATACAAAATACTATTTTTATATAAATAAATTATTGAAAGTTATAATTATCTGCAGTAATATAATATAGAATTAATATAAACTAAAACAATAAAATTCAGTCAACAATGTAAATGTTTACTATTCAAAATGTAATGTATCTTATTTATTTATTCAAAATAAATTTAATTACCTGTGCTTCACAAGCAGCAACAACATTAGAGATTAAAAACATAGCTTCTTCTATATTACTTCCACAGACAACAACACCGTGGTTTTTCAAAAATAAAACCTACATAAACATAATTTCATGAAATCAATAATAATTTTATATTATAATAATTATTATAATAAATATTTACATTAAAAAACGAAAATATAAAGTAATGTTTATCATACGGAAAAAGAAAATAAAATTTTTTCCTTTCCACTGTAACATTCAAAAAAATTTGATATATGATGCACATATTTTGCATATCATAATTTTCAACTCAACAGCACAAGTTATGCATTCATGAGAATATACAACATTAACTTTTGCACCATTTATCATTTTGATAACCAATAATAAGTAATTTTTTTATATAAATAAATTATTGATAGTTTTCATATTGAATTTAGTCAATATGACTAAATAGTTTTCATATTGAATTTAGTCAATATGAAAATATGATCAATATTACATATCCATCAGTTTGAAATGACAATTAACAATACATTTTTTAGTACATCAATCTTTTAAGTCAATTTAAATATATCAGTTACTTATAGGATAATTACTCAAAACTTATTTTATAATCTTAATCCAGACATTAACTTTATTTTCTATTTCCAGAGTTTTGGACCTCTGGAAATAAAAGATAACTCCCATTCACTACAACCACTTAACTGCAGAGTACTTGATATCAAGAAAATTAATTAAATCATTCATAGATGAGTTTGTTGTGATTTAAGCTTGGGTTGGCTGTTGTCTTGGTTGGGTGGCTCTATTTTGACAAATAAGGTCATTGTTACCACCTTCCAGCCAAAAACAATCCTGCAAAAAGTTCCCTCTCTATAGTAAATCTATGGGAGACCTTCTTGCCCTTAATTGGCTTTTACAGTTCTTCTTTAAACACCTTATAAGCTCTTATTGGTAATTTCTAATATGAAAGATATTAGATCAACAAATCAGCATTCTTTTAGACAAGTCCAATTGAGTTTTCCCTGCAAATTGCCTCACCCCTTTCAAAGTCATGCCTTCGGAGTTAGAATGTAAATAAACACTAAAAAATTGCATTTTTGTTCATTTTTTAGCTCTACTTTTGCTAATTTTCATGTTAAATGACTTTATTTAAACTAGAAACTGTCTTACATGAAACTCATCACTTCCAGTTGTTGCATAATCATGGAAAAATAATTACATATTTTAGTTGATTATAGTAATATTCGTTTATATAATATATAAATAATGTCTAATATTCACTTTCTGAAGCAAGAAATTTGTTCATTTAGCTTGACGTAGATTCTGCAAACCCCACCACCCTTTGCAGTTAAGCAGGGTGAAACCTGATAACATAAAAAGAGCAATATCTTTTGACCCCAGGCAGCTAGACATGCCACTTTGTTTTGTTTGAAAGAAAATAGATGCCTGTACATTCATAAATCGCAGCGATTTATGAATGTACAGGCATCTATTAATGGAATCATCTTAATTTTTTTTAAATAATACTTTTTCTCAATAATTTAATATAAAAAAAAATTATTTTAAATTTATATTACATATTAAATTTAATGATTGTAAAAACTGATATGTTTGTGATAAAATACAAAAAAACAGATTAATTCTAGTCCAATTTTTAAGCAAGCTATCACAATTTACTGTTTGTTTATTTGTATTGTATGTTTATGGCAACGCAACACTGGGGCAATCTGCTTAGGGGGATGCTTTCCAGGATGTCTTTTTAAGGGTAACTGGACCCTATTCAGGTAGAGAAACCTGGAAAACTCCACGTGGCCAACCCGTTTGGAAGAGGCATGAACCCACAGCCAAACTCCCAGTATTCAGGGAACAAAACTGCTTGACCACTGGTGGGCCCAATTTATTAATTTTTAAAATAATTAACACATGTAAATAGTGGACTTTAAAAAACTGCAAGCTTAGAAAAGTAAATTAATAATCTAGTAAAATAACATAGCAGAACTTTACAATTATACAGCTTTTTCAAATTATGGGCTAAATTAAGATTATTTTTTCAGAAAATGAAAAATATCATTATTACTACTTTTATTATATATTAAAAAAGTTACCTTGTTAACTGGGCCAAGATCACGAGCAATTTTTTCTTTCTCTTCAATATTTAATAATATTCCATTGTAATCATGGTAACTGACATTACCTATAATGGCAGCTTCTTGGCTAATATATAACAAACCACATTTTGAAGATGAAACCTGCAAGTAATTATATTAAATTCAATTGTTATGACTATCTATTACTTTCAGATTACAATAACATTGAGTAATTTATACATACAGCCACACAAGGAGGATAATGTATGTGAATAACACATTTAACATCTGGACGTGCAGAATGGATGGAAGAATGCAATATGTATCCAGCTCGATTAAATGAAAAATGTGTGGTGCCTGGATCTACAACATTTCCTTGTATATCAACTTTTAATAAAGATGATGCAGTTATTTCATGATATTGAAGTCCAAATGGATTTAGAAGAAAATGTTCTTGATCCTGACTCACACGAACCTAAAATAATATTTTATAATAAAGTTCCAATAAAAATAAAACCTAATTAAAAATATGTCTATAAACTTACTGTTATATGATTGTATATATTTTCTGACCATCCATACAAATCTATAAGCCTATATACTGCTGCTAATTTACAACGTAATAGTTTTTCTCCTTTTGTATAGCGAAGACCATCAACTCCTCTAATATCATTAATTGGAATGACACAGTGACCTGAACGAAATGCAGTTGAACTGCGAGCTGTATGTGGTAAAAGGATCTCTGTCACTTGCTGTAATGCTGTAAGCCCAGCAGGGAGATAACCTTCATTGATTTGGGATTCTATAATTCTTTCTAATTCCTCTCGAAAAACTTGACTATAATTTAAAGTTTTTATAGTTTATGTCAATTATTAAATTAAAGCATATGCTACCTGTATGGATTAAAATATTACCTATTCATAATCATATCAACTCTTTTACGACGATCCATTTCCTTCATATCTTGTTCAATATCTGGGGGACGCCACATCTGCCTCTGACACTCTGGATCATCTGGATCAAATCTCTCAACAGGTTCCTCTTCTTCCCCAATGACGCCATTAACTTTATTTTCAACCTCAGCCATTCTGCAAACTAACCTATCATTTAAAAAAAAACAGTATACAAAATCTATTCCATATTGAAAAAATGCAATCATACAAATCGTCAAACTTTAAAATAAATCTTTTTTTGACTGTTTCAATCATGGGATAAAGTTGAAATTAAAGACTAATTGCCACTTTACTTGTTCAAATCATAAAAAAAAAGAAAACAAAAAAAAGTCAAATCAAAATTTACATGTATAACAGCCATAAATGCAGATTCTAATAATTTCTTTTAAAACATGAGAAATTTCCTGCTGTATAGAAGTATTAATGCTGTTTCTTAGAATTAATATGGAAATAATTGCCTCGATTATCGTCAGTTTTGGATTTTGCCAATTGTTTTCGAATGGATTGTCCACAAAAATTGAGGTATCACTGTATTTATTTATTTCACAATCTTATATCAGAAAGTTAAGTACAAAAGAAAGTTTGTTCAGGTCTTCTCTAATAAAATGCAATACAGCCTTTGTACTTCCTTGCCAAAAATGTTAGCTTCCACTGTTATATCTATTGAAGATATAAGGTTGAAAGCTAAAATTTAAATTTGCAACACACAGTTTGAAAGATTATTTTGTCAATATAATCTTTCAAACTGCCAATAATCATCAAATCGTATAGACTAAATATTTGAAATGGCATTACAAAGATTAAAAAACATTTAATTATACTGAATATACAATTCAAAAAATACAAAAATTTGATATGGCAGTTTATTTAATGTAAAGGAAGTCCTCACGTAACATCATTGATAGGTTCTTAGAAACTGCAATGTTAAGCAAAAATGACTTAACACCACCACCAATTTTACCATAGGCTAACTGACATAAGCAAGACATAATTCAGCCATTATTATTCTAACTAAACATAAAAACACCTTACCACTGGGATATTTAAATTTCTTTACTAAACATTTTTTGGCTCTATGTGCCCTTGTCAGGTAAATTATGTTTAAATTCGGATCATCATCAAATATTTCTTTACAAATTCAAAATGGTGTTTTTTTATATGTAGTTAAAATAGGAGCTGGGTTAGAATGGATTATTATTATTCTAATTGGACTGTATTTGCAACCTCCAGCATTTATTTCCCTCCCCATATAATCAATTTTACTGTTTATAAAGAAAATTCAATATTAATAATTGGGATACATAATGTACAAGGATGCTTCTAAGAGTTCTTGGCCTGAGAAGAAAAGATGTTTGACCAATTTTTTTTTTTTACTTTTCACATAGTCACCTTTCAATTCAATACACTTAGATCAATAATGTTCTAACTTCTTTATTCCTTCAGTAAAATATGACTTCTCTAACTGTAAAATAAGCACTTTTCTGAATCACGACTTCCAAGTGAATCTTTATTCAGAGAGCCATTTCTTTGGATTTGGAAAGAGGAATGTCACTGGCTAGGTAAAAGCAATTCAAAGTGCCATTCATGGAGATTTGCAATTGCAATTGACAAAATGTGCACAGATGCATTATCATAATGGAAAAGCATTTTTCTTTACCAGATGTAGATGTTTGGTTATAATGCTGCATAATACTCTGTTGACAATTTTGCCTTTTTCTAGATAGTCTATGAGCACCACAGCCTGAGCATCCAAAAAACGCAGTAGCCATCATCTTTCCTGCTGATAAAACACATTTTGCCTTCTTCAGAGCACTTTCATCCTCTTCTGCTCTCTGTTTGGACTGCTGCTTTGTCAAGACATAGTAATGAAAAATTGCAGAAACTCAGTTGAACGAGTGTTTAAACATGTCTAAGCACTCCTGAGAAATGCTCATTTAAATGCATTTCTGATCAACCATTAACAAATGTGGCACCTGTTGTGCTGAGTGCTTCTTCATAAGCAAGTGCTTGTGTGAGATATTGTGAACACAATCTATTGAGATGAGATTTTTGCAATATCAGCAAGCTCATATACTTTCACTTGTCAATCATTTAATACGGTATTGTGGATTTTTTAGATTTCCTCGGTCACAATTTTTGAGCATCCTGAATGTTCATTGCCAAAAATGGAAGGACAACCACACAAATTCACCAGCCCATTTCTTCACTGTAGAAAATGATGGAGAAGAGTCTTTCAAAGTGGAATCCAATTCTTTTGTTACATCCATTAGCATTTAACCTTTTAAAATAAAGTATCACAGCACAATTTTCAATTATTCAATTTTATTCATTTCTTGAAAAAATACCAAAACTTGTTTGGTTTGATCAATCACAACAAACTATTAAATTCACACATTTAAAATTTCACAGCAGACCATCTAACAAACAATACTTGAGAAAATAAACACTTCAATCAAAAGCATTAAATTATATTCCAATAAGATTTAATTTGAAAAAGGTTTTTTCAACTAACATTTTTGATCTGTAATTGGAGATCATCTTCAGGTCTGTATATTCGATGATGGAATGATTAAATCAAACAATGATTTTTTTTTGAAAAATGACACAAAATAAATTCTTGAAATATATAGAACAGAATTAAAAGTAACAATAAATATAAAAGTTAATAATGGTACAAAAAATATACAATTAAAAAAGCATATATTTAAAGACTATATAACTATAACCAAGAACTCTTAATTATAAAGTTACTGTTATTCTTTTCATCTTATTAGCACTAATAAATGGTGATTGTAATGCCCCTACACTGTTGTGTTAATTATTTTATTTGATTGTTGGTGTGAAGAGTCTTCTTGTGTTCTTTTACATTGGTTATTTAAATTTTTAACTTTCATTCTTTAACCCTAATCGACAAACCCAGTTGTCGGCAATCTACATATATTGGAGTGCCACAATTAATTATTTTTTCTCAGTATTGGGCCACTGAAATTCAATTAGTCAAACTATGTTAAGAAAACTTCATTTGACTTTAATAATACACACTACAGTAAACCACTACAACTTGTTAGGTGTATTGAGTTCACGGGTTGGATGTCACGCCAACTTATGTCAATCAAAACTTCCAAGAACGTCAGTCTATGAGGCGTTAAATATACATATAATATGTATATTTAACGCCTCATAGACTGACGTTCTTGGAAGTTTTGATTAAACCACTACAATAAAAACATGATTAAAAATTACAATATCTAAACATTACTGACTCTCGCGGTTCAAATTTTGAAGCTAACACTTCAATATTTGGTTCATAGTTTCAATTCTTTTAACTTTACGCAATTTCCAAATTTTCTTCAGTTAAACAATTTTTATAAGGATTTATAAAATATTTCATCATTTTGAATGTTTGGTCATAGTAGTATGGTTGTATTGAGAACAGCTAAAAGAGCAAAGGAGACTTTCTTCATATATGAAAATCTGTCTGGAAGTTTATTCCACCTTTCAGTTATTACTGTGTAACAAAATTTTAAGTTTGTCTTATAAATTATATTATTAAAAATGTTTTTTAATAAATTATTTTTTATTAAAGCACTGGAAAAGTTTCATTAATTGACATTCCCTAGGCCATGCCATCAAAAAACTTTCTGCAAGCCACCAGGTGGAATGCATGCCATAGGTTACCAACAACTGGACTGACTGATGCATTTTCAATTTTAAAAAATTTTTATTTTCTATTTGTCTGAAGAAACAGACTTTTCGTAATATTCTATCTGGAGAATGAGTTATTATCTAGTGCTATTATCATCTCGATACTAAAAAACATAAATGTGTTCATACTTGTTTTGACCTGAGACGAGTTCTTACGATACCATTTGCATGTCATTACGTAATATATGACTAAAAAATTTTTTTATTAGATGAATTAAGTATAAAATTTACTTAGTTATTATCAATAATATTTCAACAAAAAGTCATATTTTAAGTATGTTTATCACCTTCATTTTTTCACCAATGTCATTTTACATTTTCTTACATTACAATTTTCAAAACGTTTAAATTTACATTTACTTTTACTCAATTTGAAAAATTTATACCCTAATGAAGAAAAATATGTTTCTTCATTAGGGTGAAATAATTTATTAATTTTATATCCCATTAATAAATCAATTTTAAACAAATGCAATTTTCAGGTCATATATAACCTGATATGAGTTCCATTGGAAAATAATCCAGTGTTAATGTTACAACTTTATATTCAAATGTTCTATAACTGAGGAAGACCAATCAATCTAATTGAAACTGTTTTTATTATAATAAACATTTGGCTGGAATTTCAAAGGTTGAATTTTACTTGTGTCAATAAAATATACATGAAAAAAACAAAAATGTATATAACCATTAGAATCTTATTATAATATGCATTCTTTACAATCAGATTGTGGAAATTTTTATTACTATATTTCCTCAATTCTGTAACTTTTTTTTTACCATTGTTTACTTGTCTAAAAGAGAAATGCATCTTAGAATCAATGGTTTCTTACATTCACAGTTCAAAACAATAATCAGAAGTCATTGTGAATGGACTACAAGATGCCTTATACACACTCCAATAATAGACATTTTCAGATCTAGAATTCAACAATCACATCAGTTCAAATAATTTGATTAAATAATAATTAATTTTCTAACTTGTTATTTACAAAACCTAATAAAATTGATGAATGTTTAAGTAAATATATGCATCCTAAATGTAGTTATTTCAAAATAATTAAGTTTTCCTGACAATTTTGTTGAATTGTACTATGCCACTTTTCCACTGAGCCCATCAATTGATCACTGAAAATTTTTCTCTCCATAAAAAAAATTATCTTAAACTTCAATTTTAAACTTATGGCATGTCTTATAATCAAGAAAACACAGTAACTTTAGTTCTATGCATGCTTATTAGTTTTTTAAATTTTTACTTGTTACGGCATGTCACAGACTGTCAATAATCAATATGTAACTTATTTGTAACTGGACTCTGAAAATTCTTTACTTGTCAGAACTCGTAATATCTGGAATAATTGTGCTTATGTTGTCTTAATTTTTAACCATGCTCAGTAGCTTCAATAATTGTATTGTGCCAGGTAGTGCAAATTGGGCAAGGA